AGTGTTTTTTAATAAATTTTAATTTTTTTTATTAATTGTATATTTATAAATTTAAGTAAATACAATGGACAACAATGAACACCGAAATTATATGTCCATTGCTTAATCAATGAACAATGGATAGCATTTTTTGTACAGTATTGTCTATTATCCATTGTTCAGTTATGACAACACTGTTTTAATAGATATAATTATTTTATTAATAATTTATAATAAATGTTAAATTGACATAATTAATTTTTATTAAAGTTTTGAATAGTTTAGATTAATTTGAAAATTTTCAGTTTAGACTGATTTTAATTTGAATTCAAATTACAAAAAAAATCAATTTAAAATTTTAGATAGTTTATTTTAAATAAATGATTCTTTTATTAGAATCTATCTTTATAAATAGTATTTAAAATTTAGATTATAATGATATTTTTAGATGACAAACTTTGATATAGCATTATACATTTTTAGTAATATTTTTTTCTTTTTTTACAAAAGAATAATTAAAATATACAAATTAATTTAAATATTTAGATCTATTTTTATATATGGTATTACTGTAGAATTCTTTAATTTAAGTTAATCATATCCTTAAATCTTTATTCAAAGTTATTAATTGCAATTTATTAAAATTAGAATGTTAAGATCTGTTTAATTTTTAATTTTACTAAATCTATATATTAAACTTTAATAAATCTATCAAATATAAAGATTTAAAAAATAAGATTACAAAGAATTTAATTAATAAATTTAGATGCTAAACTCAATTATAAATAATATGTAAAGATTACATCAGACTATATAAAAATATAAAAAGGTTGAAAGATATAGGTTTTAAATAATTTTTATTATATTAAAACTCATATTTATAAAAGAGTTTTTTATAATATAAGTAAAAAATCTATCTATTTATATAAAATTTCTTTTACTATGACTAACTATTTACTTTATTATAAATAACTAATTTAACAAATAAAATATAAGTAAAATAAAGATAATAAAAATATATAAAATAATAAAAATATATAATATAATAATAATAAAATAAAAAGTAAAATATTAAAAATAAGTATAATATTAAATATTTTTAAATTTTATTTAATTTACAAAATTAGAATTATCATTAATATTTAGAAGATTTGTAGAATAACATAGATTCTCAGTATTTTTAGAATTTTAAATTAAAGATTATTATATTACTTAATTCATGTGACTTCATTATTATTAGTCAATTATTTTACTGATAATGAAAGCTTTATAATAGAAATAAAAAAAACTGTAAAATTTACTTTTATATATTAAATATATTATAAACTTATTTTTCTCTGTAATTCTTCTTTTCATTACAAAGATTTATATATATTCATATTATATATCATAAATAAATATATAAATATATTTCATTTATATCAAAGGAAAATTTTATTAATTAAATACAGTAGCTCATAAAAGAAATACAAGTACTATTGGTTACTTTTAAAAGCTTATAATAGATTAACTATAAGGGCTAAAATTATAATTTTATATTTATTTTAAAGTTCAAATCTTGAAAATAACCTGATATAAATTTATATCAGAATTTCTTACTTAATAAACTTTGAGTATAGAAAATATTTTAGTAAGCTCATTACTATAAAACTAATACTAGATTCAGATTCTTCGTAATGTGATAATTCTAACAAGTTAAATTTCATCTAAATTAGACCTGTAGATCACAAGAAAATTGCTGATCAAAGATCATTCAACATTATATAAATTTTTTAATCTAATTTTTTATATAGTACTAGGTGATCTTTGATCAGCAATTTTCTTGTGAATTTTCTTGTAATCTATAAGTTTAATTTAGATGAATTTGCTTATTGAAATTGTTACACTGTAAAGAATCTGAATCTAGTATCAGTTTTATAGCAGCAAATCTACTAAAAAATTTTCTATATTCAAAGTTTATTAAGTAAGAAATTCTGATGTAAATTATTAAATTATACAAATTTAAAATTATTAATTGAATATTAAATTTATTTAAATTATTCTTCAAGATTTAGGTTTTAAAATAAATATAAAATTATGATTTTAATCCTCATAATTAACCTGTTATAAGCTTTTAAAAAGTAATCAATAGAGTTCTAAATCAGGTTAGGTTAACTTAACCCTGTTCATTTCTAGATCAGATTGTTCAGATCAAAAATTTTGCCTCTAAATTATTGGCTAAAAAACGATCAGTGATCAATCAATCCGATCTATAAAAATTGGTGTTCACCTCTGACGATTTTATTACAACAGACATGTCTTCGCGTCTAACTAAAATTTTTGCTAAAGTTATAACCTTTACAATGTCTAACTCAAGAGTCCTCTTTCGTTCAATTGCTCCTAAACCACCTTCACAAGAAATTCCACAAGGTCCTTTACAAGACTTTCCATAAAAATTTCCACAAGAACTTTCACAAGAACTTTCGCAAGAACTTTCACAAGAACTTTCGCAAGAACTTTCACAAGCTTTACAAGCACCACAAGGACTTTCAAAAAAACTTCTACGAGAATCTTTACAAAGATATTTGCAAGAACTATTTGTACAAAATCCCGATATCATTGCTATTGCTTTACCATAGACCTTACCTGAAATTCAGGAAATAACACCTTTGCCAACTGCAAGAGCTCTTAAAAAGAAGACTGACCGAAAACTAGGGCTTGCTGAAGAAGAAACAGGTTGGAATGATAAAAGTACAGGATTGTTGTTAGGTTTTCTTGAGGATAATTTCACTGCTTATAAAAAAAACAAGTCCAACTTTGCTAAATCAGCTGCTAATAAGATTTTTCCAGGAAAATCATGGGAGCAGATAAAGAATAAATTATCTCACCTTACAACTAAGTATAATGAAATCAAGGAAAAGGAAAACCAAACAGAAAGAGAAGCACAAGCAAAATAGAAATAGTTTAATAGATTGGATGCCTTATTTGGAACACGCAAAAATCATAATTCAGGGTTTTTGGTAGATGGTTTTTCTGATACTACTCAATTGTTTGACAGTTGTAAAGAGAAAGAAATTAATGAAGAA